CGGGGGCGGCGGTCTAGGTGTGTGTTGGTCTGTCGGTCTCCACGGCGGCCATGTCGGCAGCGGGGGGAACGTCGAGATGGGCTCGGTGGGTGACTCCCACGGCGGCCAGTGAGTCGCCGGCGCGTCCGTCTCCGTCACAGCGCTCGTCTCGTGCGTCGGCATGGTCTCGTGCGTCGACGTGGTCTCGTGTGTCGGCATCGTCTCGTGCGTCGCCATGGTCTCGTGCGTCGCCGTGGTCTCGTGTGTCGGCATCGTCTCGTGCGTCGCCATGGTCTCGTGCGTCGCCGTGGTCTCGTGCGTCACCATGGTCTCGTGCGTCGGCATCGTCTCGTAGGTCGGCACCGGCCATGTGCCGCTCTCGGTGACGCCGGGCTGCTCCGTGGGGTCCGTGTCGCACTCCTCGCGCTGCACTGGTGCGTACCCTGCGACAAGGAGGGGAGGTCCCTGCGTCACGCACTCGGCCGAGCCGCGCCCGCCCCCGCCCGAGAGCAACAACAACTCACTCCTCTCGGTCATGCAGTTGAAGTACTTCATGTCGCAGATGTCGGCGAACAGGAAGATGTCATCCTCCCACCGGGCGCACACGACCCCGGCAGGGCCCAGGATCTCCTGCGGCGCGGAGCCCACCGGCTGCCCCCGGGGCCCGTGGGTCACGTGGGCGTCGCGGGGCACGCGGGCGCCGCGGGGCAGCCGCTCCTTGCACCGCAGGCCCGTGCACTCGAGCGGGTCCCGCCCCGGCACTGCGGCACCAAGTCAACACACTGTAAGAGAGTGTCGTGCAATCAACACCCACACACGCGTGTTGTGGGGTACTCTTTTCACGGTTCTTCGTTTTTCACGAACTCGCGATTAGGAAGTTAATGTTTTCGGGCCGCCGTGGGTAAGTGTCGCCCAGTGGGTAGTACAACTTTTCCCAGTGAGGTAACTTTACCACTGCGTCTAGGGCGCCGTGAAAGAAAGGTACCCCACGCAGTTCGCGTATGGCAGGCCGCTCCGAAAACGTACGGCCGCTTTTGTACTCACAGCTCGTGTCGAGTGATATTCTCGGCTTCTTCTGCGTCGGCGCGGCGGCCAGCCGTATCAGGTGCAGCAGGTGCAGCAGGTGCAGCAGCTGCAGCAGGCGGTGCTGGCGCAGCAGGCGCGCGGGCCTGGCGCGCACGCCCAGGCGCAGCATGGCGCGGCGGCGGCGGTGACGGCGCCCCCGTCACCCCGTGACGAGGAGCTACGGGGCGCGCTCGTGTGACGGGGCGCGGCGGGGCGGGCGCCGTCGCAGAGGTGGCGACCACGGCGCCCGGCGTCTGACGCGCCTAGCCTGCCGCCGGCCTCTGACCATGCCGACTATCAGCGTGGCCCCGCTGCGTGGACTGGGCCCGCGAGGCCCGCGCAGCACCACAGGCCGCGCTCGGCGCCCGCCAGCCTCGCGACGGCGAGGGGCCAGCGGGGGGAGGGGGGAAGGGGAGGGGGGCACGCCAGGACCCGATGACGTCGGTTAAACTTTTCATAGGTACACTGTCGCTCGCTGCTTTGTTTCTCATTTTCGGCGGCGCACTCTTACTTGTTTGGGCGTCACCTCGAAAATCGTCGATGCTGAGTGAGATGAAAGCGTGTGTGTGTTCGAGCCGGGAGGGTGCCTGCGCCCGGAGCTTCGGACTATGTGAGAATATCGAACACACTGACTACTGAGCATCAGTCTTGGTTTTTATTTCGCGTAGCTGCCGAGACCCTGCTGCGGCATCTGCTGCGGCATCTGCTGCGCCTGCATCTGCGCCATGTCGCCGTAGCCGCCCTGGCCGGCGTACGCCTGGGGCGCGGCCTGGGACTGCGGCATGGCGGGCAGCACGGGGGGGATGAGCGGCTGCGGCGGCGGCGGCGGCCCAGGAGGCGGCGGCGGCGGCATCATGGCCTGCACGGGCGGGGGCGGCGCTGGCGCCGACTGCAGTTGTTGTGAGGGCGGTGGCGGTGGCAGCGCGGCGCCGATGGCGACCTGTGACCCCTGGTACGGGGCGAGTCCGCAAAGTGAGCTGTCCACCCGCTGGTACACTGCGACATGCCCATTAAAGATTTCCATTGTCAACAACAAAAACACTTATTAACAAATTTGATGAATTTTTTGCACAGTTGTAAAGTTAGCGTCTTAATTGTAGAATATTTGTCAGTAAAAATCGCCAGTGTTTACGTTCAAGCGATGTACCCGGCCCGGCAGGCAACGCACCTCTCTCGGTCATGCAGTTGAACCACAGCAGGTCACAGATGTTGGCGAACACGAACATGTCGTTCTCCCAGACGCCGCAAACCATGGCCGCGTCGCGCTCGACCGACTTGAGCCGCTCCATGCAGCGCATGCCGTTGCACGACCTAAAGTCGCGCGCTGCAACCGGGTGTCTCGTCAGTACGTAGCAAAAGTGAGGTTTTTTTTAAAAATTATAATAAGAAAATAAATTATAAAATATTGTAGAAACAGAGAATGGTTTTCTTTACAAACAGAGTGTGAGTGTTTGAAGTGGGTACCTACCGGTGTACCTGAGCACGGCCTCGTACAGCCCCTGCGCGAGCAGGCTACGGCCGTGCAGCCCCGTGCCGTTGGCGTGGCCGTGGAGGCCGCGGCCCTCCGTGCCGTTGGGGGCGGCGTGCGGGGCGACGTGCTGAGGGGAGGGTCCGACCTGCACCCCGGCGACGGCCCCCGGCACGGCCGCGGCCCCAGCCAGGGCTGCCGCCACGGCCACGGGGGCGCTCTTGAGCAGGTCCGACACGGGCGCCGGCGAGGTCGCCGCCGAGGCCATGTGCGCGGCCAGGCTAGAGTGCGGCCCGGGCGTGCTGGCGCTCGCCTTGGCCTCGGCCGGCGCGCCCGTGTGCCCGGCCAAGGCCACGGGGGCGGGCGACGAGGCCGCGCCGGCGTGCTGGGCGCTGTGGATGACCACGGTCACGGGGGCCGGCGTGGCCGCGGCCGCCGTCGCGTTGTGCGGGTGCGCCGTGGTGGGGCTGGCCGACGTGGAGCCCGCGGCGGCCGCCGCCGTCACGGCCGCCGCGGCCGCCGGGGTGGAGGCGGCGCTGGCCGCGAGGGTGGTGGTGGCGGGCGGCGCGACGGCGGCCGCCGGGCTGGCCAGCCCCGACGGCTCGGCGCTCATGGCCTCAATGACGACGGCGAGCAGGGCGGCCACGTGCAGGGCGAGGCGCGCCCGAGGCCGGGGCGCCGGGCGGTGCGCCATGGGCGGCGCCATGGGCAGCGGGGCGTCTGCACGGTGCGCGCGGTACTGCCCGGGCACTGCCGGTGCTCTGCGCCGCCCCCCGCTG